GATTTGAGGTCATTTGTTACACAACACTCTTGTGGCATTAGATAACTGATACAAATACCAGTCGTTCATTCACCCTACTTCCAGGAAAAGCCCCAGTTTTCAGGGAGGATCCACCTCTCCTCTATTCATAGTCCATGTGGTCTGGATGACATACCTCTCTACTCCCCTACCCCCTAAGTATTACCCAGTGACTATAAAAAAATCATCTCATTGTTCTTACCATAACAATTTGTTCAGAGGTAGGCACATGATAAGGCAAACCAATCAAAGCAAAGCTCAGTATTTTTACTCAGACATAAAGAGGGTTAATGAGATCAGTGATCCAAACTTTCCATTTTATAGTAGAGGCAACTGAAGCTCTGAGTTCAAGGACACCCAACTGGGTAGAAGCAGCCCTGAGTCTATAATACAGTTCTCCTGACTTCTATCTGGTTGATTTTTCTGCTATATCCCAGCACCTATTCAGAAAAGACAACAGGATGCCCAGCTTCACTTAATAATTTACTAATAAAGTGTACACTGAGCATCTTCTGTGTGCTGTGGGCACCATGCAAGGTGCTGGGGAAGTTTGAAATGACATGATCTGGTTGGCTTAGCCTCAGAGAGACAGACTTTCAAACTACTCAAATGCTTGTTGCAATCTTGCTGCAATGGCATTTTCTGCAAAGCAGAGAATCTCCTCCACTGACTCATTTCATCCCCTATAGGTTCCCAAGGAAGCTCATCAAAACTCCAGTGCTTGCTGTGTGCTTTCCAGAAGAGGCCAAACTCAGGAGCTGGTGGGATTTGATTTTTATTTAATAAAAAAGAAAATCACCTTCCTATCCTCCACCCGCTCTGTACCCTACTGCTGACGAGAAAACCAATAATCCAAATCAGAAAATTTCAAAAGCCTGAATTTCATGAAGTGATGTTTTACGGCTGCTTTCAGGTGAGTTCTTCCCCCAAGAGGTGTGCACTCCAGCAGAACTGAAGCCCAAATTACACATTCTCTCTGCCTTGCGCCTTCTCTGGCATCTCTTGGATGCACATTTATCACTAAATGATACCAGTTTTCTTGGGGAAAAAGGAAATAACTAAGATTTATTGAGTACCTACTATGTACTAGACATTGCTTTAGCCATTTCACCAACATTATCTCACTTAAACCCTCTTAAGATAGGTGGCAAGGCAATATCATTTTTTCCCTGTGACAGATGAGAATGAAGGCCCAGAGATATAAAGTAACTTGGCTGCCAAATTATTCTGTCACAGCTGATAAGTAGCAGAGCAAGACAGCTAACCCAAGACTGTCCATCTCCAGCATCCTTACCTTCCAGCTCAAACTCCAACTAAGAAAACAGTTTTACTTCAGCAAAGAACATAAGTAATCATGTTTGGAGGAGGGCTGGCATGTGAAAAAATGGTGTTTGAGGGAAAATTGTGTTTGCATCTATGATTGGGTCTTAGAAAAAGTAGGTCCAAACTTTAGTGTACATAGAATTATCTAGAAGGTGTACTTTAAAAAGTGAATGAAAAATGTGGAGGCCCCCTCATCTATAAGATTCGCACTTCTAACAAGCATCTCCAGTAATTTTGGATCAAGTCTTTAAGCCATTCTTTGAAGTCTGAGTCCTGGTCCTGGGTGTGATGTAATTTTCCTGTGTAACTTTGAGCAACATCATTTATCGCATTTATGTCAGTTCCTTCATCCGTAAAAGCAGAAAGGTTGAGTGAAATGTATTTTCTTCATTGTCTTCATTGAAGTGTATTACTTGCATTGTCTCACAAAATTACTCTCCCAACCCTGGTGGAGGGTGGATATTATCATCGCCTCTGCTTTGGAAATGGTAGAAATGGATGTTCTGGGTATGTGAATGGCTTGCACAAGAGCACACAGCCTGATTCTAATCAGAGCCAGAGCGATCAAATCACAGTACTGTGCTGGCAGTTTTCCCCAAGTTCAGTGTCAGGTTTGAGGATTCGTTTTGCAAAATAAACAGATTTCAAAAGACATTCCTTTCTATTGTGATTAGTAGAGTCCCCTGGGCTTGAGGTGGTGGTGTCTTCTGTCCTGGATTTTAAAAGAATATGCCGAGACTTCCCAGGGTTGGGTATGGGTGGATCAATAGTAGGACCACTAGGGGGCGACCTGCATGGGAGACCTTAAGTAGCGATAAGTGAATAGTGCACACTGGTATGCTGTTATCATTTCCTATGCTGGCAGATATGATTCCCCTCCAAAGTGACTTACAGTCAATGTGGGACCTTGTCCTTTCTCCTTCACAGCTACCCCTTCCTTATCCAGCCTCCCCAGGTGACACTCACCCCTTTGCCTTCTTATTGGCTCATTCCCTATGTCCCCATAGTGGGTTGCTGGCAACATTCCTGCCATCGGATGATAAAATACTAACTGATTTTCCTGAAGAGAAGAGATCAGACATCGAAATTGGTCAGAAAACAGTGGTTTATACAAAGTTGGTGTGTTTATGACACGGGATTTTTCAGAACCTTTCATTAGTTCACCTGATAGTAACAGTAATGATACCAGTCATGGCCCTCATGCATATAGACTTCCCACATGCCAGGCCCTGTGACATGTGTTGTACACGATGTCTCATCTCATTCTTACAAAAAACAGGGGCGCAGATTGGTTGAGTGACTTGCTGAAGGTAACAAGAATACCAAACAAAGGGGCCACACTTGAAACCCAGGCATGGCTGAGGTTAAGCCCATCACTCCCCGCTTATGTCTTCCTTTCAAGAAGGTAGCAAGTGTGGGAGCCAACAAACTCCCCAATCTTGTTATTATGCCTCATGGTGACTTGAGATTCTGGGTCTACATGCTAGAGGAAGATCAGTGACCCCCAGGGAACTCGACCTGGCCCTCTCTGGGCCCCCTTCTCTCTTCCCTAGATAGGCCAGGATAAAAAAAAGCTGCATTTAGCAGGACAGGTGAAATTAACCCGGTTGGCATAGAAAAACAGCTTCCAAGCCTTGTTTTTGACCCAGCTTGAACTATTTTCTAAATGCATCAGACAACAGGCTGATAATACGGACAGGGATGCTGACTGCCTCCTGATGCTGTCACGGGACTCATAATGGCTTTGTTTTTCACAGGGGAGGAAAAAAGTTTATGCCTCAAATTAGTAGGTCTGTCATGTTCCAAATTGTTTGCATTTCTAAAAATGGATGTTGACATGTGACTAGTCATTATCTAACGCAAGACCCGAAAATCTGCCTCTTTCAAGGCAACAACTGAGTCGCCAAGGGATTCTCATTAGACACGAGGATCTAAAGCTCTGGCTCCTAATAAGGGAATGCAGTGCAGCCCCTCTCACCCGCCTCCCCCAGAGCTCAGGTTGTTTCTGAGCCTCTGGGACCCTGGTCAAGCTCCTCTCTTCAGAACCCTCAGCCCAAGGATACCTGGAAACCTAATCAAAGGGTCTAGTTTCCAATTGCAGTGATTTTCAAAGTGTGGTCCCCGGACCAGCAGCATCAACGTCACCTTAGAATCTGTTAGCGATTCAACCCACCCAAGGCTGGTGAATAGGAATCTCTGGTGGGGCCCAGGAATCTGGATTTTAACAACCCTTCAGGGTATGCTGACATGCATATACTCAAATGGCTCAAATGTGAGAACCACTGGTGGGCCCACGACTCCCTCCTCCCCACTCACATGCACCCATTCACTGTATTCCAGTTTCTTAATTACTCTTCTACCCCCATTTTCTTCTCTCCTTCCTCTACCAGCCCCAGTTCAGGTTACCGTCCACCTGGGTGATGGCAGGCCTCCCAATGGGTGTCACCAATGCCGGTCCACTCTCTCCTAATCCAGTCTCCACTTGGAAACCAGATCTAGCTTTTGAGAATGCAAAACTGGTGGTGCTAGGATCCTGCCTAAAGTCCTGCTATGTCTTCAAATTTCCCCCTGTTCAAGGTCATGAAAGAGTTCTACTTCAACCTCTTTGGGTCACCTACATTCTCCCCACCACCAATCCAACAAAGCACCGGAGTGAAGAAAGAAGAGAACCAAGTTTCCAGTCTGTTCTGAAAAGAGCTGCTCCCATCACACCATGGGAAATAACTTAGGCATTACAGTCAGAGAGACACGGGTGTAAATTACAGCTCTACCACTTAGCAGCCCCTCGACTGTAGGCAAGCCAATCTCCTCTAACGGGGATTGACAACACCTACCCCGCTGGGACATGGGAGGATTAAATGATAACAAAGCACGCTGCGTGGCACATAGTAAGGAGGTAACAAGCTCTATCCACCTCCTGCTCACCCAGCTAGTTTCAAGTAGACCAGTGGTTCCCAAACTTATTTGGCCTACCGCCCCCTTTCCAGAAAAAATACTACTCAGCCCCTGGAAATTAATTTTTTTAAAATTTTAATAGCAGTTACTCATCGCCCCCAAATGCACCTGTGGCCATCACCGCCCCCCTGGATCGCTGCAGCGCCCACCGCGGGGCGGTAGCACCCACTTTGGGAATCACTGAAGTAGACCAACTCCTTAACTTTTGATGCTACCTCAGCAAAGTTGAAAATAGCGTTCTGTTCCCTAAAAGCCTAATCATTCCCAAGGATCCTGGGAATGTTTTCTCTCTGTTTATCTATCTGTTTATCTCCCCCTCGGAAGTTGTGTTTTTTCCTGCATTAATTTGCCTTGTGTTTTGCCATGTTGTCTGAGACAAAGCAGCATTTCCCAGAGGTCTTATCTGGGATGGTTTCTGGGAGTGGCATTTTCCTTCAGGCAATATATATTGGAAAGCGAGAAGTAGTAATTCTTCAACGATGGGCCCGGCACACACACACACACACACACACACACACACACACACACACACACAACGTCTATACACTAGAACCTAGACGCTTAGATGGACTTGCAGGTCCACCCAACACAGACACACGTTTGCATTGAGTCATACATAGACACTAGGACTCTCTGTGCCTTCACCGATTAATGTCAAGTCTGACAACACCTGTACAAACAAGCTACAGAACACCATTCGGTACCTTTTGGTGACTTAAGTGTCGCCACTGCCCAGTCACCATCAGAACTTCCTAAAAAATAACAATGGAGAGATGCTGATCTGTTTCTTGCTTCGGTTTCGCTGTGTCTTCACATCCAGGTGCTGCTGGCGGCCCCAGCAGGAGCCTCCAAGAGTGACAGGCCTCAGGGGACACAGGGCACAGGGCGAAGGACCAAATGTGCAAATGAAGTTATGTGGGCATCTCTTTCTGCAAGGCCTTGAAGCAGTTTCAAGACAAAGCCCACAGAGGAACCAAAGAAGCCCCCTGCAAAAGGCCTAGATATTTTCAGTAACGTAAAGGGAGAGAGAATTCTTAGACAGTGGGTAGCTCTAAATCTCAACCCTCTAAAAAACAGAGAAAAATCTGTTTAGATGAGGTGACTTTGGTTAATGACGACAACACTGTGCTGACAAGGGATACATTTTGATCCCGGTTTACAGCAATCCCCCTCCTGAAAAAGGGGTGGGGTGCATTATTAGCATCAAATTCCAGGTAGGGGCAGACCCTGCTGACTGCAGCTGTGTTTGAAAAAATATTGTTGAATGAATGAATGAATGAATTCAAGTTTCTCCAAGGAGTCACTTTTCCTAAGGTATGGAAATTCCCTTAAAAGCTAAGCTGGTGAATTGAGAATTCCATAATGCCCAGAATTTTTATTATAAATCAATTTCTCCAAATTGAATTCCATTTCAGAGGTTCCGAATGAGCGCTGGGGGACTCTCACATTATTAGCAGAACTCCAGGGGGACCCCTTTCATAAAGTAAAAGATGGCTCTGGCTACACACCCTATGCCTGTCCTTGGTAGGCTTTCTCTGTAAGATTGGGTTTTACTCAAAGCGGGGCAAACCTGCCCACGTGTCTTTGCAGCAGCCTCTGCCCATTGGCTACAGGTCTGACCAATCAGTGTGCACCACCAGCTTCTCTTTCTTAGGAATCAACCAGGAAAGACCAAGTTCTCAACATTTCTCTAAAGTTTCCAGAGACACGTCAGACTGCCAGCTGAGAGGAGACGCAGGGAACAGTCTGTGATCTGAATGATTACAGAGCACAAATCTGTCCCCACTTAAACAGTTCCGGTTGGCCTCACAGGCGTTCCAAAGGACACTCAAATTGCCACATTCCCCCTGTGGATCTGAATTCTACACCCTCATCACTCACAACAGAGGGGAAATGGAGTGACAGGAGAAGAGTAACAAGTTAAAATTAAGTGGAACCCGCCCAGGATGACTTCCTGTTTCTTCTTCCTCTGAGCCGGGGTCTTTGACACTTGGAAACAGTTACTTGGCCCAGTCGTCCTCTGCGGGTGGACACAAGCCTGACCAAGTCACTGAGTCACTGGCCTCAAGGAAGGCCTGTCACCCCCAGTCAAAGCCATCACTGTTTGCATTGAAGACAGGAACCATGCTGTGGTCACCTCTGTCCCCACTACCCAAGAAAGGGCTTCGCTCCGACAAATTTTGTTTCATAAAATCCATTGTTAATAAGGACACTGACTCAGAGGGCACATGGGCTATCAAAACATAGAGGTAAGGTTTCACTATGCACTTGGCACTAGTGGACCTTAGATAAGCATTTTGGGTGAAAAATTAAATTCTTATTAAAAAGGGATGGACCTAAGGCATTGAGAAGAAGAGGACATGAGGGAGCTTTCTGGGAGATGAAAATATTTCTTATCTTTACTGGGATGTTGGTTACCCTAGTATGTGTATATTTTAATAATCACACTATTGTAAAATTATGATCTGTGTATTTAATTATGTGTAAATTATACTTCAACTATAATATACATTAAATATACTTCAATTATACTCAGCATCACGGGGCAACTTTTGCCTTCAAACAATGAAAAGCAATTAACACCTTACTCAGTCTCCCCCTACAGAAAGAGGAGAATGGGCCTCCTCCACCTTTTTTTTTTTCTGGTTATATCCTTCTGATGCCAGAAATTGCTCTCTGGATGACAGCGTCGTTTTGTGGTGGAAAGAACATAGGATTCTGCATCAGGAAATCCTAAATATGACTCTTATCTCTGTCATCTACAGAAGTGTAGAGCCACACTTTCCCCATCTGTAAAACACTGGAACAACACAGAGGTGTACTGTTTGGGCGTTCAAAGATACCAGCTCCCTTTCTGCCGTAACTTTAAACAAAATAATAAACTAACAGAGGTCATTTCATGGGTGAGGCCTGTATGCATCATTTAGGGTTTTCACACCAAAAAAAAAAAAAGCAATTTCCACATGTCTAAATGCATTGTTACTGTGGCTTTAAGAAGTGCTATTGGAAAATGTAACACGGTTCCAGCAAAAATAGTCCATCGTCTTGTCAAACAGCAACAGAGAAAATATTTTCTTATTAAAATTTTGAATTAAAAACAAAGGCACTACGCACAGCATTCTATCAGTCACGCTGGTACATCCTGTCTCTCTCACTAGGCAACCAAAGTTGCACTGAAGCATCTAAAGGGCACGTGCTTGGGAACCTTTGGTGGCTGAGGATTTAAAGTCTCAGACACCGAGAGGAGAAACTAGACTTGGGGCCTATGGGAGATAAATGCCAATGTGGGGGCAATCTTCTGTTAGCAAAATCCATCAGGAATTGCAGAAAAGGGTGGGCCTTTTCTAGTTCAGGAGGCAGGATTCACCCTTCTCTGAACTATCAGGTGATGCTTGGGGATATTTTGACAAACCCTTCCGTCTTATAAGGACTGACCTATGAGGAACCATAAAATGGGTCTTCACATTGTAACCACCCCTCACACTGGTGGCTCAGGTCAGAGAACTTGGGTGCTTACCTAGATTTTTAGGCAACATTTTGGCTCAGTGTATCATCAGACACACCTCTTGACTTCCATCTTGGGGGAAACATTTCTAAAATGCTTGGACCCACATTCCTGACTTAGTAAGAGGATTACTTGAGTGAAATAGAATCCTTCTTTGATAGACCGTCGCCCTTCGCCTGGGCATGGGTCTTCACTGTCCAGGAGACAGATGGGGCGGGCAAAGAGGTTTGGGCTGCCTCTTTACTGGTCCTCTGAAAAGTCATCTGCTGTTTGCCTACTTGCTTATTTGTTTTATGAAATTCCCGAAGTGAGTGAGCTTTCAGGCACGTCTTTCCCATCCAACTAGAGGAAAGGATATGGATCTATCTACTTCCTTCAAAGTGCAATCTGGGCAATTGCGTGTTAATCAAGGCACCAGTGTATCTTGGAGATTCAGGGGAAAAATATGAGCAACAAACAACTCTTAAATGCGTGGCAGAATTTACTGAGGCCTGACTATAGACCAGGTCAAGCACTTTCCGTGCACTGCATCATTAAATCTTTCCACCTAACCACTAGCTGTACATTATTAATCTCCATTTTACAGATGGGGAAACTGAGACCTGAGGAGGTTAAGTAATTTCTTCAATTACTTGTAAATGTCTGAACTAGATCTTAAACTCAGTCCTGACCACTTGCGGAGGCCATGCTGCAGATGTCGTTCTGCCATCTTGCTGATCACCTCCTGCTCCTGACTTGATGTGGGATTACATGGTATTATTCACCAGTTTTACAAATATATAGCGGGATCACTTATCAAGTTCCCCAATGGTGCCAGATGCCGGGGATACACTGATGCATGGGGCAGACTTGGTTCATGCCTCAATGAAACCTATAAAAAAGGGATGTCAGATTAAATGTTTGGGGAATGAATAAATGGATGATTGATTGAATGAATGAGTGAATGAATGAACATATGATAAGTCAATTCCATCCCTCATTCTTGTACAGAGTTCGATGAGGTTTAGCCTCTGACATTTCCCTAATATGTGGTAATCTTTACCGATAACTGGGCAGTGAATCCCTTGGTAGTCATATTCTATATAAAAGCAAATGTTATAATTCCTGAATGCTTCTGTAGTCATATTCTATATAAAAGCAAATGTTATAATTCCTGAATTACAGAGAGAAAAGAGCTCTCTTTAAACATGAGTGAGTGTGTTTCAACAAGCAAACCAACAAAATTAAATTAAAAAGAACAACCAACAATTACTACCCTCTTCTCCCCGGAGTTGGAATTGAATGAATGGGACAATTTAATGGCCCATACTGTAATAACTAGATATTGTAATAACTAGAATGAGTGAGATTGTTTAACTTTCTAATTTTAAAATTAGAGCGGTGCTTGGAGACCACATAATTCAGCCTCCTCATTTTTCAAATGCAGGAACTTGGGTCGAAGGGTTTCAGTGACCACCTAACCCACCTGATGTTCTGGATAGTAAAGCCACCAGGAGAAATTTATTTTTCAGCGGTATTTTTAAACTTGGCAGTTCACCCTAAAATCTGTCCAAGTCTCCTCTTATTTACTGAATTGACATTTTTATAAAATAAGTCTGGTTATCAGAGGTTGCTGAGCTTTTAACAGCAAAACATTTTTTAAACGACTTCTCGCCTGGGTAGTAATGATTTCAATAATGAAATGTATCCCATCATTCACACCGTGGTCACATTATGACTTAATAAAGAACCCTTGAAATAATGTTTATTATGGGATTTGCATGTCATTTGTGCAGGCAGATCCTGGACTCCTGGTAACCCACTGAGTCAGGCAGTCCCTCAGTCAGCTCCTCAGTGGACTTCCACTCACTAGAGATTCCCAAAACTATCTTTAAACCCCCACAATAGTCAGAGAAGAAGCAAGGGGGCCCATTAATCATAACCAGGACTAGGGAGCATTCCTCAAGTGAGATCCTTCACAAGTTTTAAAGGATATAGAGGTGTGGCTCTCTTCCTACTAAGCTATTCTTTGATTCTCGTCAAATACAAGCTCATTCATTCATTCAACAAACATTTTAGGAGTTCTTCCTTTGAGGAAGAAAGGCTACTCAAAGAGTGTCAAATAAATTGTCATACTGCAGATTTAATTCCAAATGCACTGCAGACATTTGCTCTGCACGATGCATAAATCCTGCACTCTGAAATCAAGGAACTCTGTGGTAATATGTATCCATTATTTACCCAAGGAGCTACTGGGTTTTGAGGGGGGGATAGACGCTGAGCCTAAGTTGAACAAATGAGTTGTTTAGGGTAATGTGACCAGTTCCAAAAGATAAAGCATCTGGACTGATTTTTTTGTGCCAAGAAAGGAATCAAATATTAAGAGCAGACACTATTTATGACCTAAATGCAAGGCTCTGAAAGGGAGGCAGGCCATCAAATAGTGAACGAGGCTTCCACAGTTACATCGACACAGATGCCCTGACTCTTCCTCTCCTAGGCAACAGCCCTCATCCCTGCCTAGTGATATCTGAGTCTATTTGAACATGCTTAAGATGTATGTGCTGTGCAAACACACAATATGGAATAGAGGAATCTGTGGTCATGAGATGTGGATGAGGGTTCAGGTGGGTGTAGAAGTTAAACATGAAGCATAGGGGACTGGTATGTAAGGTCTTATGAAGCTTCAGATTTAGAAAAGCCCGTGTCAGTCTGCACAGCCCGCATCCTTGGTATTATAAATTTGGCTCAACCCATCTTTGCAGGGTTCCATCTGGAAATCCTAGGAGATCAGGGAACAAGAATTCCTAAAGATAGAGTTCTGGCTCAAACACTTACTAAGCTCCTAGTATGTGCCTGGCTGTCTGCTGGGCACCAATGTGGTCGTTTTGTGAGTCCAATGTTTGTAGACCATGGCAACCACAAGCATCATAGACACGTGACAGTGTCTGTGCTTGGGTTTCTGGTGTGAGTTCTATAATGGAATTAGGATATTTCACACTGGAATTGATCAGCAAGCATTCCTACTCCATCTCTAATGAGTGCCTTGGCAGTGGGAGAAGAAAAGAGGATGAGAAGCTGATAATAAAAGAAAGCACATGGTCAGTGGGTCTTCTGTTTGCCCAAAGTCTGACTTAGCCGTGGCTGTTGCTGTCACCCAATAGGACTCTGTCATGAGTACATTCTTGAAGATCCTTGGTCACTGTCACACTCCCTCATGTCTGATTGGGGAATGGACCGAAGGGCTGTGGGAGGCTAGTGGCAGGAGCATAGGCTCCAGAGTAATAAAAACACAGGTTCAAGTCTCAGCTCTGTCACTCACAGCTGCTTGATGTGGGGCAAGTTCAATTAGCCTCCTTGAGTCTTAGTTTCCTAATCAGAAAGTTGGAACCATAACTGGCCTTCCTCTTTGGATCACTGTGAGGAAATGAGACAGGGTCAAAAGGCCCAGTGCAATGTCTCGCACTTGGTAAGAACTCGGTTAGTAGCAGCTCCAGGCTGCCTGTCCCAGGAAATGCTTACATCCTGAAGAGCGGAAGCTTCCTGGGATGGGAACATGATGTTCACCCACTTCTCAGAGATAGAATGTGTGTAGATGAATGCTGTCCACTAAAGGGCAAGGTATTCAGAGACTCCATGTCCTGAATTCTATGTTAGATTCCCTGAGGATTCACCAGGGCAGATGGTAGATGCAGAAGGTGCTGAGGTGTCAGTGGGACCTGAAGAGCATACGGATCCTCCTCCCCAGGTAACAGCCCCAACATGCACCACACAGCCAGGACGGACTTGACCTGGGTCAGACAGAAAGCATCTGAGGGGTCTGATCCTTAGTAAACTATATCCCAGGTAGATAAATCCAGAATATATAGGTAGGTAGAATGATGATAGATAGATAGATAGATAGATAGATAGATAGATAGATAGATAGTAGATGATAGATAGAAAAAGAGAAGAAGAAAGAGAAGAGAGAGATTTTGAGAGATAGATGGATGAAGAAAGGGAGAGATTAGAAGAATGGAAAAAGGAGTTGAAAAAAAGTTGGAGAGAGAGGGAAAGATCTGGATGGAACAGCAAAGTAGAGAAGAAAGAGGAGAGGAGAAATAAAACAGCACTTACCGACGGCCTTCAAGGAGGCATACTTGTTGAGCTCTTTACCAGGAGGCTGCTGTTCATAGGGGTTGGAGATCTGGCCCAGGCTGGGGTACGAATGCGGATGGCCCATTTGCTGCAGCAAAGGGGAGGTGGGCACTGCGTTGTTCATCTGGGTAGAGTCTGGAAATGAAGAGACAGAGGGAGATGGTCACAGAGAGTGGAGGTCCTTCTGCCAACCCCACCATTGCTGTATTCATCAAAACCAAAACTCCCGACCCTTTGGGGACATGAGAGAACGGCAACGGATGTTCGGACACATCAGGAACCACGGAACACAGTCTTCACTGGAGAGCAGGTGAGGACAGATGATAAAGGCAAAGGATGTGCCCAGAAAGTCACCTCCACCATAAATTAGCACAAGGTCCTATCATTGTAGGGGCTATTTTTTAATTTATTGATTTGAGAGAGAGGGGTATGGGGTGAAGAGAGAGACAGGAAGACATTGATTTGTTGTTCCGCTTACTTATGCATTGATTGGTTGCGTCTTGTATGTGCCCTCACTGGAGATCGAACCCACAACCTTGGCATATCAGTACGACGCTCTAACCAACTGAGCTACTAGGCTAGGACCTGTAGGGACTACTTTTATTATCAAAACAATATATGAATAAGAAGATGATCAACTTCATAATAGTCAAGGAGATGCAAGTCTGAACAATGATGAGAAGCCATTCCTTTGCCAAGAGATGGGCAAACATTGAAAACATTGAAAGACACCAATACTGGCAAGGAAGCAGTCTCATCAACTGATGGTGGATTTGGTGTGATTTGCTGCATTTGCAGAAAGGAATCTGGGAGTGGGTCCTGAATTTAGAGTGCATGTGCATGTTGATCAAGTAATTCCACTTCTAGGGACTGAGCCTTCAGAAATATAAGCACCAGGATGTAAGGATATTTGTTGAGAGATGTTCATTGCACTGTTGTTTGTAAAGTGAAAACACACATACTCATAGAGAAACCATCTGAACTCCTATCAATATGGAAATAATTTTTTTAATTTTAACATTCATTTATTTTACTGTTATTTTGAGCATGTTCATTCTCTTATTCCTATTCACTATTTAAATTTAATTATGTAGTAATTGATAAATAGCAAGTATGCATGCACATATATAGAAGTTATTCACCCACCAGCCAACTTAGGAACTAGAACATAATCCATGCTCACAAAGTTCTTAAATTATTGTACATCCATATTATGTACATAATATATACATACATATGATGGAATATCATTCATCCACCAGAAAACAATAAGATAAAAATCAGTTAACCATGTCAAACTGAATAGTTTCTTATGGTTTTATATTGTTAAGAGGAAAAAGAAAAGAAAAGAATATAGCATTTTTTTGCCCAGCTGGTGTGGTTCAGTGGTTGAGCATTGACCTATGAACCAGGAGGTCATGGTCCAATTCCCAGTCAGGGCACATGCCCGGGTTGCAGGCTCGATCCCCAGTGTGGGGCATGCAGGAGGCAGCTGATGAGCAATTTTCTCTAATCATTGATGTTTCTATCTCTCTATCCCTCTCCCTTCCTCTCTGAAATCAATAAAAATATATTTTTTTAAAAGAACATCGCATTTTTGTTGAATAAAAGAAAATCTATGCATATTTTTGTGTGCTATGGTTTGCAAAAAAAAAAAATACGTCAAGACACACAAACTGAGTACTGGTTACTTGTGTGAAATCAGATTCGTGGGGAGATTCAAGAGGTTTCTCTGAGGAAATGTTCTCTGAGTTGAGATTTGGAGATCTAGATGTTAGTCAAGTGTGGGGAGGTAGAAGGTGCTGGGGAGGGCGTTCCAGGCAGAGGAAGCAGCACGGCTGAAAGTCCTGAGTTGGAGGGAACAGTGCATTCATTCTCAGACACTGAAAGAATGCTCCGTGGACACTAGCCAGGCATGGCTGCAGAGCAGGGTGTGAGCGATGTGGGACCAGGTGGGGCTGAGAGGCTGGCAGGACCCAGTAACCTTTTTAAGGGCTTCCTCCTCACCCTGAGAGCAATGAGATGGATGAACAAGAGGCAAGAGTCAAATGGGAGACAGGAGTCTAGGTGACATAATTATGGCTCCATTTCAGGCAGGAAATACAGGTTCTCTCCAACTTCAAGAAGCACATATGCAGATCCAGACAAACACGGCAGGGCTACTGGTGGTGCCCTGAAGATTCCCAGACACCCACCCATTTCCCAGCTGCTGTGTCAGCCGGTAACAGCTCACAGCTGCTCCAAGTATCTGGAAAATTGCTCTCTAGGCTGATAGGAGCCACCACCCAAGTTCTAGGGCGCTTAATGCACCTCACCCTCACCACCTGGGGTGGCCAGCGACCAACGTCCAGCTGACATTAAGATCCAAAGACCAGCCTTTGTCTCAGGTGGGGATGAATTATGGAGCAATAGATACCACAGAGCTCCCAGGGGTTGGGACAAGTTTAGAGCAGGGGTTGGCAACTTTTTCTGTAAAGAGCCGGATCGTAAATAAGTAGGCTTTGCCATCCAGTCTCTGTTGTAACTACTCAACTCTGCCCATTATGTAAATGATGGGTGTGGTTTTGTGCCAATAAAACTTTATTGAAAAACATAGGCGGTAGCTGGATTTGGTTCAAGGGCTGAAGTTTGACACCCCAGATTTAGACTTTATCTGAGATTCTTAAGTGTGGCTCCTTTATCTTTAACATTTTGTTTTTCTCACAACCTCAGAGGTGTGAGTGTGTGAGTGTGTGTGTGTGTGTGTGTGTGTGTGTGTGTGTGTGTTACCTGACAGGCACTCTCTCAAGTCTCATGCCCTGTACCCCTCTTAAGTGCTGCTTCTAGACAATTCAACCCATGGCATGCATGGAAGAGCTGGGCTTCAGAAACCAATAAACCCAAATGGAAAGAGGCAGGGATTTCACAGCTGAGACACAGAGATAAGGAGAGCATTTTTATCACTGCCCATGCACAGGCCATCACACAAGCCCAACTGTCTAATGGAAATGTCATCAAACATAAGCCAAGTGCCCAGCCTTTGGCCAGCATCTGAGGAGGCAGCCCTATCCTTCTCCATGATAGGTTTTTGGCTAACATTCAGCTGGGGCAGGAGAGGCTTAAGATGAATGAATTAATGGAGGAGAAGATATTGCATAAGATACAACTTTCACTGGACCCTGGACCCCAAGGTGCTTTGACATTTTCCTCTCCAGAGCAACCTGCTGGGGAGGTCTGTCTGCTTTCCCTGGGCATGGCCGTCCAGACATGTTTTGTGCCCAAATGTTGGTCCAGTTGTAAGTGGCTTATGTAAGTTCTCATTCTGTGCTTTTCCTCATGACATATTTTTCTAGTGGACAGCTTTGTTTATGTGAGTTCAGAGCCACCACTTCCTCTGGCACTTCCTCATCCCCATTTGAGTCACTAGATGAGCTGCCAATCATGGTAACTGCCTTAGTTTGGGTTTCCCCAGAAGAAGTCACTGAGATAAGGACTCAAGTGCAAGAAGCATAAAGAGGAGATGATCTCAGGAAATGCTGGTAAAGTGGAGGGGTGGGGAACAGGGAAGAGAAAGAAGCAGCTAGAGAGTGCAATGCTAAGCAAGAAGCAACTGTGGTGAACTGGAGTTTAATTCCACTCTGGAATTCTGGTATGTTGGTGCAGAGTGCATGTCTCAGAATTCTGTCACCCCAGGAGAAGGGAACACCTTAGTATTTATACACTCACTCCCATTAGTCATTGGTTGAGGACCAGGAGACAGTTATTTCTCAGCACTTGCAACCTGCCTTGTTCATGGGCAGAGTGAGCTCTAGTGGCCAGAGAAACTCTTACTCAGAGATGTAAGAGCTGGCAGTCGGAAATCAGGCCAGTACCTCACCCTTTGGCCATAGAAGTGCCAGTACCTCACCCTTTTGGCCATAGAAGTGAGCCCATGACCCAAATCAGACCAATCACAACACCTTCTTCTCACAGTGATTAGGCCAGAAGTGAGTGTGTGATCTAGGCTGGGCCAATCAGAGTTCTTCCCTGAGTTTTTCTATTTGGAACCTTTGGTGTCAAGGAGCTAGAAGGCATGAAGTCAAGTGAGTATGAATCTACCACATGGACAAAAGCATTTTCCACTGTGAAGAAATAAAGGACAATGGGCAAGAAGCAGAGGGGAGAGGGAAGCCCCTTTCTAAATAAGCTAGCACGCTTTGGGATTACTGTCACTTGCAAGGTAGACTTCTGACTAGTGTGATTGTTATCTGGAACTGACCAAAGGGGAGGCTGCCCATGGGGCTCTAAGGATTGTGTCAGATACAAAAGGCAATACTCCTGGGTTTTCTACAGAGCTTCAGTAGATATTTCAAAGAGCAAATTGCCTTAGTAGTGCATACAGAATTCTCAAGGATATTCATAAGCTAATTAACTAATGTCTTAATGGAAGTCCCCTCCCCTCCCATTTTCCCCCTGGAAATAGATTCCAAACACCAGTCTATCTAGTTACAGAGTTGACCGCCTCAGCCCAGCAGCCAGTGGGAGCCCTTCCTCCCATCTCTTTGCTCCCTCAGTCCCAGATCCCACCCACTAGGCACAAATCCTATTTCCAGGCAGGTCAGGGGAAACGCTAAACACTTCATTAAAGAAAATAAAGATCTGTATAGATGTTCCTCACCACTTGGGACAGCCTTTTATATTATTAAACAGAATGTTTAATATTCCATTATAAAGTATTTGCTCTTGGATGACTCTCCCAAGCCCTGAGCTACCTCAAGGGCAGCGGTTAGCTACTTAATGTAAGTGGGTATGACGGAGAAGGCTCACCAAAGTGATCCCTCACAAAGGAAGAAAGGAGGCTGCCCCAAAGTTCCTGCTTTCACATTCAGAACCACAGGAAGCAAATTTCTGGCAGTTTTAGATCATCATTTTGTGCTAGCTTACAGGCATTGAATATTCAGAAATATTGAAACCAGTCTCAGGCCAGCGATCAAGAATTATTAAACAGACATTTGTGACTGGGTTTTTAAAATGTTATTTCATTTTCCTGAACAGGACCTCACAACTCAGTTTCTCTGTGAATTTTCCACAAATATATCCAGCTACGGGGGAGAAACAAAAGTGTAGATGGAGAGAAAACCTTGTTGGCATCCAAGAAAATAGAACAATAAGGTGAG